TAAAGTCTTATCAGCCATGACATATATATATATATATATTTTTTGTGGTAGAAGTTGAAAGGAAATAGGCTGGCTTTTTATTCAAGTTCCTATAAGCAGTGCCACTAATAAATCATGAAAAAACTTCACATAATAAAGACTTTTCTTGGCTGATGAGTTTTAGACCTAAGTTAATCTTGTAAAATAATTCTCTCAGATACACTCTAATGCTAGCTTAAGTCAGTATTTGAGTTTGCTTAATCAAATGGCAAACATGCAAAAAATCAAAAGGATAAAATATCTATTTTTTATGTGTAAAGAAGAGATCAGTGTGTTCTCTGTTTCATTGAATATGTTCTTTGTATAATAAAAGGATGTTAAGTGTAATATTATTCAGATAAAAAACTTCATTTTCACCTTAGAAAATACATACATACATATATATATATATAAAAGAAATACATGTGAAAAGTACTACTCATAAAAAAATACTATATGTATTATTCATGGATAGTATACCGCGGTGAGCCAAAATAACTCTTTCAATTTTAAGATAATAAACATAATTTTTTATGTGACTAAGATTCTTGAGGGCCTCTTCCTCTTCACAAAATTGTTTGGGATGTGTCATATTTTCCAAGTAGATTTAAGATTCTGGAACAAAAACCATCTTCCTCTTCAAAACCATCTTCCCTTGAAATCCATCTTCCTCTTCAAAACCATCTCAAACTTTCTCTTCAAATTTTGTTCAAGGTCATTTCGAAATGGTGGATTAATTCTTTCGTCTGCCGCTTGATTTCAAACAAGCACAGTAGTGCAAGGTCTCAGGATAGTCTCGTTGCTGCTAACTAACCAGCTGTTAACTGTATTAACTTCCTGAACCCTCCTTTCCACCTGGCATGTGTCCCCCAGCTCTCTCAGCTGCTCCCCTTCTTCTTAACTAACAAACCAGAAGAGAAACAAGTAAAGGGAGGGAGGCTCTGATTACTTTTGACGCAAGAAAAGGTTGCTAGCGAGTCTTTCATTTGGATCCAAAGCAAATACTGAAGCAATGATTTTGTTATGAGCATTTCAAAGACTTGGTTCTTCTGGAAGGAAGTTCTCTCAACTTTCTTTTCTTTAAAGGTTTGGGTGCTCAGTTTTTGCCAGCAGTTTTTATTAATGTAAATTAATTATTATTATTTTTTTGAAAAAAAATGTGTTTCATTATTGTGTCAGTTTATGACCACCCAAATCTTCCTTCCTCGAACGCTCAATCAGAAGAAGAATCCTAACGCAAGATTAAGGCTAGAAAAGTTCCACTGGTTGTCTTACCCCTTATCTTTTTGCAGCAGATCGACTAGAATGTTTCATGCGTATTCATGTATATTGATACAAACAAATCTATGTTGTTGACCCACAATCAAGCACGACTAGCAAATGGACTAGCTGCTTTCCCTTCAAAAATAACTGTCGAGACAACTCTTTAACTAACAAACTGTATTAACAGCTTGAATCCTCACCATCTGCCACTAGCCCTCTAACTCTCAGCTGCCCCATTTCTATTGAGCCCCATATAATTCTGATGAAAACAGCTTAGGTACCCTTGCACAAAAGCTATAAAAGACTGATGATCAAATAGCCGGAAACATTACTCACTCTCTCTCTCAAACCAGTGATAAAAAAATCTGCAGAGCTAGAGAGAAAACAAGAAAACTGATAAGCCCTCTTTCTAATTCTTGCTGGTTAGCGAGAAACAGGAGTGAAAAGAAAACAAGTAGTGGTGAAGGTGAGTTCTCAAGTTCCTTTCACTTTTGATTCTTTGTGGGATAATGGCTGTGTTTGGTTACTTGGAAAATACAAGAAATAAAGTTAAAATCTTGAACTTCATTCAATTGTCATTTTTCAATCTTTCCTTGGGTTCTGTTTCTTTATGATGTGAGTAACGAAAGAAAATAGAGCATCCAACTAAGTAGGTTTTAAGAATTTGATTATTTGTACCTTGATTCAAAGAATCTTAACTTTGGATCTCCTGCCTTTTTATTTAGAATCTGTCTGTGTTTGGTTGCTAGGAAAGTGCAAGAAAGAAAATTTGGAATCTTGAACTCCATTGATGGTTTGGCACTAGTGGATTTCTTCTTCTTCTCCTTCTTCTTTTTAGTTTTGGTTACTTCATAAATAAGGAAAACAAATAGTATAGAAATGTCTAGAATTTTGAACAATTGTCTCCGTTATTGTCAATTGCTGATAACAATTCATTTTCTGTTCAGCATGATCAAGAGTTTTCCCAGATTCTGACAACATGAAGTGATTTCTTGCGTTGAATTGAAATGAACAGGAAGGTATTGACTCCCTTCACTCATGATTTCTGTCTTTTTTGGAATCTATCATAGTATCCCAGATGGGGATGACTTGTTAATTGTCTTTGTTAATTACTTGTCAATGGAAATAAACTTCCACAGCAACCAGCAGAAGAAAGATTCCCAGCTATGGAATCTCGTGGGCCACCAAGAAACGTACAAGATTTCACTAATGCAGGTGCTCTTTGGGCAGGATATGGTCTAGTATCCCATGAACTAGTTAAAAAAATTATGATTGTAAGTCATCTTATTTGATGTTCACCTGTATCAGTGTAAAATTCATGTTGATATATCAAGTGAAACTGAAAGTAATGCGTTCAAGTTTTTTCTTTGTTTATGATAATTACGTAGGCCAAAGATTTGATTGAAAGATGCCTTCAACTGTATATGAATAAAAAACGAGTGATTAGAACAGTCTTTGAACAAGTTGGAATCGAGCCTAGCATTACAACTGGAGGTAAATAGCTTGAACAATTGTTAGTAGCTTCTCCTCTTCTGAGTAGCTTTCATGATACAAAAGTTACATGATTTTTTACTACAGTAAACTCTTGAAATATCAATTTTCTATGTTCCTTTTCCTTTAGCTCTGACATCTTTTTTTTTTTTTCATCTTGTGACATAGTGTGGGATCAAATGACAAGAGAAAATACAGAATTTTTCGAGGAGTTTTGCAAGAAGTTAATTTTGATAGATCAAATTGAAGCATTTAATCGATTAGTTGAGAGGCAGTGCCATCTGCAGAATCTTGCATCTCAAAAAGCTTCATTGGCTCCCTTTGGAGAAGGCAATCAGCACATGCGTGGTAAATTCTTGCCACAGCATTCTTTTATGGTCAAAACATAGAAGTTGGATAAATTTGAATGCATTCAACTTTTGAAGATTATTTGAGCTGTATGGACAGATAAACATATAGTCATGATGAAGTGCGTCGCAAGGAACTTTTTTGTCCTTGTGCAATTAAATAAATATATAAATTTTTTTAAGATGAATTATTAATTTTTGTATATGAATTTTTGAAGTTAATAGTAAAGTTTTAATTAAATACACTACTTAAGATATTAAAAAATAAATTTAAAAGTACATAAAACTAAAATAAAAGTAAAAATGAATCACTATTAAAGTTATATCTTTTGATATTTTATGAAATATAATCCATCTATAATCGAATATGAATTAATATTGTAACAACCTCTCAACCAGGATAAAATAACAATCTCATGTTAACTGGAAAATAAAATAATTAAATTTGTTTTCCTCTTTTAATTTCTCTTTCTTTCACTTAATTTTTCATTAAATTGGTATTTTATAAGTTAGACTTTGTAAGTTTACAAGATTAGTTGATTTATTTTATTTTTTAATGGCAAATAATTATTTTACCCTTAATGAGTTGTTTTGTTTGTATTTGATGGTCTTTTCTTTTAGCACTACCAAACTCTATTTACTCTAAAATTTTAACCAGATTTCTCTTTTCTTTTAGCACTACCAAACTCTATTCACTCTAAAATTTTAACCAGATTTAATTTAATATATTTTAAGATCCCTTATAAAATTTCAACTCAATCTGATGGTCGGATTGAAAATCACATCCGATAACATAAAATGATCAAATTGTGAATTTTTATTAAATTTCTAAATTTCTCTAAAAATTTTAAAATTTTAACCCAAGTTAAAAACATCAGAAGGCTCAATACAAATTTTTAAGATTTTTTGATAACTCAATTACGAATTATAAACTTTTTTATGTAAAATTATTAATAAAAAAATATTAATAAAATCTTCACCTGCACGGAAGTTCATCTAACCCTTAAACATGCCTTGGTCATGATCCGTATATATATTGCATAATTTGCATTGGTTGTGGCTGCTAGCTACTTTTAGGTTGAATGGAAGACTTGGAGTGGGGTCTCTGATAGCTTGAAATTGAGCCTTCATCACCTGGCTTGGTAAATTACGAAGTCACTTGCTGAACATATGAGACTAGATTCGGAACTTTCTTAAGCATCCCCATCCAGGCTCAAAACACGTGCATTTTTACAGACATCATTTTCAAATTTCATCTGTTTCTTGCAAGTAAAAGTTCTTAGATTAATCTTATCATAGTTACATTTGAATTAGTGGTTTTCGTTTTTTTGTACTACAGCTGAGAGTCCACATAAGGGATATAACATTCCACGTTCATCATCTGGTCATCCCCAGAGGAGCACAGTTTCCAGCAATCACAGTGAAGATGCAGCATCCAACAGTTCCTACCTAGCACATATGAATAATGGAGGAGGGTAATTTTCTCTTCTTTTCATTTAACCGTTTCTCTTCCATATGGTTAGCAAGAAAAAAAACTTTTGGGCAATGATAAATTTAAATTTGCTGCAAGTATGACTCATGCATGATACGTCTTCAGTGTACTACTCTAAACGCTGTTCTATTGCTATCAGAGATCTACATCAATGTCGTCAAATGTAAGAATTTTCCTGAACCGTGATCCATTATATCTTGCAACTATATATTGATTAACTGAGGTATTTAGAATCGAATTGGTATAGCAGATAAATTTATTCATGATAAGTTTTGATTCAAATTAAGGGATTGAATATTGACATGCATACAGATAACAAGTTATGAAGATTATCAAATAGGATTGTAGGAATAGTTTGAGATTCTTCGGTTTACCATGATGTAAGCTTACGTCTCTTCTGTTTGTTAAAGGATGGCGCTGGACAGTAACGCAGCTGATAGAACTCCATATTTTGGTAACCATAACTTGACGGAGACATCATATTCTGGTGCAAAAGACCGTCATCCATTGTCTACATCTTCTCTACCCCCTCCAGTGGAGCAACAATGGCAACATTTCATTGAGCCACAATGGCAACATTTCATGGAGCAACAAGGGTTTGATTGGTCCTCTGCTAGGAAAATATATGAGTTGACCGGTGCGCATGGTGAGATGAACTCATTATAAACTGAAACCATTCATGGTTCTCTGGTAGGTTAATTCCATAGACACGTTTCTTTCTAAACTAGTCCGTGCATGTTCTTTCATAATTTGAACAGAAAATCAAGCTTCTACTACATTGATTGGTTCTCAAGAGTCGAGCAGCGGCACTATTTCCAACTACCACAATGGAAACCCGGCACCTGGAAGTTTCCACCCTGCACAGTTGAATTATGAGAGAGGGTGAAACTTCATTCTCATTAATTTTCAACTTCATTTTTCTTTTTCGCATATTTCTTGTTCTTCTATTAGAGTAATATAAAATGGACACGTTTAAAAAAAAAGTAATATAAAACAGACGGACATGATTCTTTCCCATATATTTCGTTCAGTATGCTCTAAACATTATTCTATGGACACATTATGATTATGAAAAATAACAAATGGAAGTTCACTACTTTTCTGTTTGTTAAAGGATGGCGACGTACGAGAATGAAGCACCACCTTTTCAGATTCCAAGTCCTGTATCAGTTGAACGTCACCTGAAAGAATATGACTTCATCTTATCTTGTGATCCATTTTCTTCATCTTCTCTGGTCCCTCCAATTGAGAAACAAGGGCAACCTTCCACGCAGCAACAGGGGCAACATTTCATGGAGCAAGAAGGGACTGGCTCCAGTTTCTACCCTGCACAGTTGAATTATGAGAGAGGGTGAAAATTCATTCTCATTAATTTTCAACTTCCTTTTTCTTTTCTGCATATTTCTTGTCCTTGTATTGGAGTAATATAAAATGGACACATTTCAAAAAAAAAAAAAAGTATTATAAAACAGACGGCCATGATTCTTTCCCATATATTTCGTTCAGTATGCTCTAAACACTATTCTATGCAGTGGCTGAGGCGGGGCCCCTGCAGGAAATTCTTTTTCCCAGCCCCCTCCCTTGTAAATATTGTAAAAATAATTAAAAAATTAACTTTGCTCCCCTTAATTTTTAATTTGGCCCCCCCTAGTTTTTTTCTCTTGCTCCGGCCCCTGATTCTATGGACACGTTATGACTATGAAAAATAACAAATGAAAGTTCACTACTTTTCTTTTTGTTAAAGTCCTGTATCAATTGAATGTCACCTGAAAGAATATGATTTCATCTTATCTCGTGATCCATTTTCTTCATCTTCTCTGGTCCCTCCAATTGAGAAACAAAGGCAACCTTCCACGCAGCAACAAGGGCAACATTTCATGGAGCGACAAGGGACTGGCTCCAGTTTCCACCCTGCACAGATGAATTATGAGAGAGGGTGAAACTTCATTCTCATTAATTTTCAACTTCCTTTTTCATTTTTTGCATATTTATTGTTCTTATATTAGAGTAATATAAAATGGACTGACATGATTCTTTCCCCATATATTTCGTTCAGTATGCTTTAAACATTATTCTATGGACACATTATGATTATGAAAAATAACAAATGAAAGTTCACTACTTTTCTTTTTGTTAAAGGATGGCGACGTACGAGAATGAAGCACCGCCTTTTCAGATTCCAAGTCCTGTATCAGTTGAACGTCTCCTGAAAGAATATGACTTCATCTTATCTCGTGATCCATTTTCTTCATCTTCTCTTGCCCCTCCAATTGAGAGACAAGGGCAACCTTCCACGCAGCAACAGGGGCAACACTTCATGGAGCACCAAGGGACTGGCTCCAGTTTCCACCCTGCACAGATGAATTATGAGAGAGGGTGAAACTTCATTCTCATTAATTTTCAACTTCTTTTTTCTTTTTTGCATATTTATTGTTCTTATATTAGAGTAATATAAAAAGGACACATTTCCAAAAAAATTAAAAAGTAATATAAAATGTACTGACATGATTCTTTCCCCATATATTCATTTAGTATTATGCTCTTAACGCTATTCTATGGACACATAATGATTATGAAAAATGACAAATGAAAGTTCTCTTTTGAAATTAATTTTGAAGTCTATATTCAAAATGTCTTTTAGTTCTTCTAGGTATCTCCTATATATATATATGTATGTAACTATTAAATATGTGTTTATTTTTTAAGTCTTTTAAATTATCTTAAAATAGTTTAAATATATGTATGGAATATTGTAAGTCCAAGTCGAAATCCATTGAAACTTCCTTTAATAAGAGACTAATATATTTATGAATAAGAATTGTCTTTCACCATGCTTTCCTTTTCTCTTCAAATATATTTCTAATATGATATCAATGCTAGTTCAATCTATGAGCTTTCAGAGAAACTAAAATATAAAATCCTAAAATAGAATGGACGGACAAATAATGTTTAATAAAATAGAGATGTAAGATGATAAATAGTCAAAAACCTTAAAAAGAGAATTGAGATCCTGTATCAAAAAGAAAAGAGAAGAACTCTGCCCACAAGAGATGAGATTTGGTACAAGAGCAACCACACATGAAGAAAAGAAAAGAAGAACTCTTCCTATCACAGATGATAAATGGTCAAAGAACCATGACAAGAAGAGAGCTTAAGGAAAAGGAATGATCAATTTGAGGTACGAGAGAGATATCATATGAAGAAGAGAAGAGAAGAATTTTTCCTATAAGAGATGAGAAATGGCTAAAGAGCCATAACAAGAAGAAGGCAGCAGCCTGAAGAAATGGAATGATTAAGATATGGCACAAGAGAGACCACACATGAAGAAGAGAAGAACTCTTCCTATATGACATGAAAAATAACCAAAGAGCCATGACAAGAAGAAGGCAACAACCTAAACAAATGAAATGATCACTTAAAAAGTCAAATGTTGAAAATAGATTTTTAGCAAGAGAATTATGACAACAATCACAAGAGAAAAAATATGGCTAGGACTAGCTATATTCAGAAAATCAATAATTAAAGAAAAGCAAATTCAAGAAATGGCAATGGAATGCCATTAGCTAGCCATGATGAAAGAAGCCACTAAGATAAAGATGGAAGAGAGATATTTTCAAATAAAAATGGAAGTTAATTCTAGAAAATTAATTATAAATGCAAAAACAAAAGATATTGTAAATTATCATAAAACCTCCACTACATTTCAAGTTTCAAGAAATGTCACACTTTTAAAATTAAGGGGAACTATTGAAATTAATTTTGAAGTCGAAAAAGTGAACTTTAGTTCTCATATATATATATATATATGGAGCATTCAAAGTCAAAAGTTCAAGTTCATTGAGACTTCCTCTTGTAAGAGAGTAATATAGTTACGAATGAGATTTGTCTTCCACCATGCTTTCCTTTTCTGCTTCAAATATATTTCTAACAAGTTTACTACTTTTCTGTTTGTTGAAGGATGGCGACGCACGAGAATGAAGCACCACTTTTCTTCATCTTCTCTTGCCCCTCTAATTGAGAAACAAGGGCAACCTTCCACGCAGCAACAGGGGCAACACTTCATGGAGCAACAAGGGACTGGCTCCAGTGTACAAGGTGAGGTGAACTCATCATATTCTGAAACTATTCAAGGTTCTCTGTTATTTTAAATTCTATGGACATATTTCTTTCTAAACTAATCCATGAATGTTCTTTCATAATTTGAACAGAAAGTCCAGCTTCTACTACATTGATTGATTCTCGAGGACCAAGTAGCAATGGTAAATTTCCAGTTCTTTCCTTTGAGCTCTTAGACTTACTGTCTGCCTCCTGGTTTTGATGAAATGTATTTCAATATTGTGTCAGTTGATCAAAGCCTCAACGGCGCGCCCTCATAGGAAAATAATTAAGAAAATTTATAATCTGATTGTAACATTTTTTGTATGTGATTTCCAATTCAATAATAAAAAGAGTTTATACTATATTTATTTAAAATATCATTAGTAGATCCTCTAACTTTAAGCATTTTTTTATTATCATTATTTGATTCTCATATTAATTTCTCATCTCAAAGTTCTCATCAACTTCTTTTTCTTTATTATTACTACTACTACTACTACTACTACTACTATTATTATTATTATTACTATTACTATTACTATTACTATTATTAGTAGTAGTATTAGTATTATTACTATTTTTTATGTTGTTATATTATTATTATTTATAATTTATACAATTAACCTTCATGTGGTTCGACACTAGTCTTGTCGGGTTATTTATTACTTTAACACTTCTGCACTTGGGAGAGGACATCAATCTTTTAGTCGTGTCACCATGTTATTCTTGTCAAATGTTGCCCCTAGAATCAAAACGTCACCGGCATATAGTCCAAGAATATAAAAAGCAAATGTGTATGAGAGTTATTAATGGTTTTCTTGTTTAGTAAACTAAATAGAATGAGAAAATATAAAAAAAAAAATTAATGAGGATTGAATTGAAAATAAAAGTTAAATTGAAAGAAGTAAACCTAAAATATTATTAGCATGAAATAAAAAGTAATGTGGTATACTGTGCAACAACATAGAGTGATAGAAGTAGATTCTTAGGAATAGAACTAATGTTTGGTAAAGAGTGATTGAATTAGATTCTCATAAATGAGACTAATGCCTAGTAAGGGGCTATGAAATTAGATGTTCGGTAATGAAACTGATACTCGAGAAAGAGCGATGGGATTAGATTCTCGATAACAAGATTAATATCTAATAAGGAGTGAAAGAATTAATCTTCCAGTAATTGGACTGATATTCGAACATGGACAAAGAAACAAGGCACCCAACAAAGGGTATTACTTAGAAAATGGGCTTGGAAATTTTGATATATGGTAAGGGGTTATTCCCGAAAATGAGTTGGTCATATTAGGTTGAAGATGATGATGAAATTTCGATGTGATGAATGAATTATATTGATTAATAAAATAGAATTGTTGATAATATGAATTTACAATTTAAATGCAATATTATGATTTTTCTTCTTGTTAATTTTTATGAAATAAAATTATTTTTTATTATGATAAATTATTTATAGGTACCTCATAATCACGAGCCCAATGATAGATCTATTGATTAATAAAATAGAATTATTGATAATGCGAGTTTGTAATTTAAAT